CGTGTTTGGGAGGCTGCCGCAACTATACCCCCCGGAAGTGCGCGAGCTGGAGGTCGATTCTTTTACTAGTGACACCAAATAAAGCGTAGGAAAACTTTTCAGCTTTTGCTCTTTTGGTCATCAAAAAAGGTTGCTGGCTCTCGGGCTATTACCTCCCTAGGGAAAAAGCGATTTTGAATTATAAATGCATATTTTGTGAACAAATACATATAAATATTTAATACATTACATTACATTTTATTAATTATTATGAATGAATAATGAATATTTATAGTAATTGTTCAGTTATCACATTTAGTAACGTTTATAAAATCTGGATAATTATTCCCCTCGCGTTTATTGTCACATTTTTTTCAAAATGATTTGACCGCTCCATTTCAGTCACCGGAGGCTCAATATTATCTGACTGATTCATTAAAACAGCATGATGCGACGTACTACTAGAACCTTGAGTTGAAGTGTCATTGTAGAGAATGTTGGCTATTTAATTTTTGTTACTTAAACTGTCAGCAATATAACTCTGCAATTCTGGCTGATTTCTAACCACCATATCTCTTGCTTGCTAATACAGGAGTTGATGTATTAGTAGTAACAGTAAAGTTGCTGATGTTCTTCGAAAAGAATGGCCTGTATGTGTTTCAAGATGTTATAGTTTCAAAAACTCTGCAATTTTATTAGGAATCATAGAAAGGGTACTCTTGTCGACCTTAGAAACGACAAAATCCGAACAACCAAGGAGACTTTGCAAGATTTCGAATAATGTTAAAATGAATTGATTAAGAAATGTCAAAAACTAATTTTTATCCCATGAAACATAAAGAACTGTGGTAGCAGATAAAATGTTATACACCACGCAGCAGTTAAGTATAATTTATCAGTCTCGGACTCTATTGCCAGCCCTCGCTCCGCTCGAGCGCAAAGTCGTCCTTGACTGGTAAATAATACTTACCCTCCTTTATGGTGTAAATAATAACTATTAATTACAATAATATAAAGGTGTTAAAATATGTTTTTTTTGTCGAATTGAGCGGCTTAGGTTACCTGGAAAATGTAAGTATAGTACCAATTTACTTTGTTCTGTAAAGATAATGTGGTTTTAATCTAGATAAGACAAATTAAAAAAAAAACATTATTCATATACAGATTAAAATAAAATAAAATTATAAAAGCAGGATGAATTAAATAGTTTTTCTAGATAAAAGATAACTGCAATGAAATTGATTTCCTTTGTACAAGGATAGCAGTTATAGAAATATGTACTTTATCTTAACAGTACATGTATACCTAGGTATTAGTAAATATGTTTACGGACCTTAATCTCGTAGTTTGTTTCTTCCACCATGTTTTTAATTGTTGCACAGTGATAGTCTGTCCATAGCGAACATTGCGTGATATTTGTTTTCATTTCTCCTGTGTTATAAAATATTTTATATTCGGCTAAAATACCAGTAGGCGGAGGAGGTTTCCATCGAAGAGAAATTGAATTTCCATCTTTAGATACAACGTACATTTCGTCTGTTTTAGTAGGAACTAAAAACAAAAAGTCACACACATTTCAATTATCTCGTGACAAAATTACAAGAATGTATGTATGTATACATTACATTGAGGGGAATCGACCAATAAAGAATCTTTTGCTGATTGTAACATAATCTGTATTGTAATAGCATTTTTTTCCTATTAGTTTTAAAACATCATATTCTAAAATCAATAAATAGCAGTAGCTAGATATTTTTTCAACTAGTAATTACACAATTACAGTTAACACGCAGATGCGAGAATTACATGCACTGCATTACAACAGGAAAGATGCCTTGCCCGTATTTCATATACAGCGTGGTAAAAAAGTTCTGCATAAAATTCATATTTTCGTTTTTTTTTCGAAAAACGTTGAGACCCGTCGATTTTTATTAGATCCAGGGCACCTTGTTATGTGGAAATTTTTTTTTTTTTTTCGATAATCCACTTACGGCAGCGATGACATATATTTTTTTAAATGACAACGCATATTTTTTTCGTTCGAAATTGATGACAGTGATAATTATCTAAACAACGCAACGGTGTGAAAATTTCGATGTCTTACATAACAATTTTTTTTAGAAAAATGCACCTTAAGTTCTTATAAGTGATAATTGTCTACTTACACTATTAATGGCTCCGAAAAGGACAAAGTTGACAAAATTACATTTCAAACGAGTAAAATTACACTAATGTTTGTGTAAGTCTAGCGAAATTGTTCGAATTGCCCACCCTGTACCATTTGGCATTGTCCTAAGCGTGTGTAAACGCCGTCTACACTTCGTTCAAGCATTCCCGGGTCGATTTGATTTATTTCAAAACGAATACGGTTTTTAAGTTCTTCCAAATCACCTGGTCTGTTTGTGTACACACGCGATTTCAAATAGCCCCACAAAAAAAAGTCTAGAGGTGTTAAATCAGGCGAACGCGGAGGCCACTCGATTGTTCCGCGTCGCCCGATCCACCGGCCAGTAAACGTGTTATTCAAGTACTCCCGTACTTGCACTCCATAATGGGGCGGTGCACCATCCTGCTGAAACCAAATTCTTTCCTCAGGAATATCAGGATCCTCGTTGTTCGGGAATAACTCTGCTAAGCTTGGGACCAAATCGAACCGCAGGAAATCCAAATAGCGAGCAGCAGTTAAATTTTCCTCGAAAAAATACGGGCCTAAAATACGACGCCCTATTATTCCCGCCCAAACGTTCACCTTTCGGGGGTGCTGATGATCTACTTCTTGCACCCAGTGCGGGTTTTCCTGAGACCAATACCGGCAGTTATGTCGATGCACCGATCCATTAAGATAAAAAGTAGCCTCGTCAGAAAAAATTATGTTCTTGAGGAAGTCGGGGTCTCCGTTACATCGATGCATTAAATCTTCACAAAAGTGGAGACGGCGGTCTGGGTCGTCCTCAGTCAATGCATGTATCAAGTGACCCTTATAGGGGTGAAATTTCTCTTTTTTGAGAAAGTTCACCACAGTTACATGTGAAATATCATTGTTCAATGCAATCGACCTTGTACTAGAATGAGGGTTGTCCTGGAGCTCCACCAGGATATTCAATCTAGTTTCATCATCTACTCTAGGACGACCCGCACGAGGAGCATCTTTCACACTACCAGTTTCCTCAAACCTTGCCAGTACCCTACTAACCGTAGATTGCGTAATTGGTGGTCTGTCAGGGTACGTTGCATTAAATAATTGGCAAGCTTCTTGATGGGTTCGTAACTTATCGCCGAAACCAATCATCCTCAAAATATCAATTCTTTCGCGTTCACTAAGTTTTGCCATTTCGAATTAAACGATTTCACCAAAGAATGTTAAATCGGTACTGATTTTTAGTCTTCAATATTTCAGGTAATCTACTCCTTTCAAGTAAACATTTCTTTGGATCTTTTTTTTTTGAGGAATTTATCGGCAAACTCGAAGACAAAAAGTCGACCTTAATTTGCTACATACTATTTGGATTTTGTGCGGTTGAACTTGGTTCTAAATTTTGCAGTTTAATCAGGATCCTGACAATATCTGATGAATAATTCCGCAAATATTACATAACACCAGTTGCAACTTAAGTTATCTGAAATGCTTTCTGCCGAATAAATTTTTTTCTAAGGCATTTGATCCGTAAACAGCAAATTATTGCATTCAAGAACTTAAGGTGCATTTTTCTAAAAAAAATTGTTATGTAAGACATCGAAATTTTCACACCGTTGTTTAGATAATTATCACTGTCATCAATTTCGAACGAAAAAAATATGCGTTGTCATTTAAAAAAAAAATTATGTCATCGCTGCCGTAAGTGGATTATCGAAAAAAAAATTTTTCCACATAGCAAGGTGCCCTGGATCAAATAAAAATCGACGGGTCTCACCGTTTTTCGAAAAAAAATTGTTTAACGAAAATATGAATTTTATGCAGAACTTTTTTACCACGCTGTATACTTATAATTTTACTAAAGATAAGAAATTAATAATTGTATCGTCTGAATGTAAGTATTCTTCATTTTATGGATGTCTTGCCGCTTTGCAAATAAAAAAGTATCTGTCATTTCAGATTACTTGAAATTTCACTTTGAGAAATTTATAAAACTGATATCTGTACCTACCTCATATGTTTCGATAGCTTCTTTATATTCGCTTTTATTTTTATATTCATATTTTTTAAAACAATAGGTATGTTAATTTTATAATTTTTTCTTACCACTTTCATAGACGGATGATATTTGATTAATATACAGAGAGTTACACATTAGTAGGTAACCACATATTTTTTGGACTAAAATAATGGAATTTTTCCTATGCCATTTCTTCTTTCGGATCCCCGTTTTCAAAATACAGGGTGTCAAAATCAAAATACAAAAAATGATTTTTATTGTCAGCTTCGGTGATTTTAGAGACATTTGTTTGAAATTGGCATTGACACACTTTCTGTGTAATTTTGGTCTAAAATATCAAAGCGCGAACGGAGGAAATGTGGGATGCAGCACCCACGGACCCCCCAATTTTTCAATTTTTTTAAATACGCCTATGCTTTCAAAATATTTTTTTTAGATAAAGCGTCTTTTTATTCTATATTCAAAATATATATAATGGAAGAACTAAGATCATGAATAAAGTAAGAGGAATAATATCAAGAAGTGTTGTTTGAAGGAATAATGTGTGAAATTCTTAAACGGATTATCACATAAGTTTCGCTTATATCAGATGCTGATATTATCAAAACAATACATTTAGGGCGATTCTCCTACCTGAGGGTTTTGTTGTAAAATCCTCGGTTGTAACGAAAACCCAATTTCTGTGATTTCTAGTTGCTGATACATCTAGATTATAATTTATATATGGGTATAAATCTCTAACATCATATGAGGTAGTTGTGGCAGATGTGGTAATATTATTATGTACTTTTTTATGACAATATTCACATTTTGCTACAAAGTTTAAGTAAATCGGTCCCTGAATATCCTCACACTTTGCGGGCGTTATACTGACACTTGCTTTATTGGAAGATGTATCCTTTACTTTAATTTTGGGTAATTCGCTCTGTGATAAACTTTCTGTAATATAAATATATATTTTTATTAGTAAACCATAATAACCACTGCTAGTATTTAGGTATAATAAAAATTATAAAAATAATTTGGCTGTTCTTTACCTGAATAATTTGTTTTCACTTTTATCTGTGAGTATTCCCCTGCTGCTTGGCTTGTTTGGGCACGAACTTCTATTTCGTATATAGAGTAAGGTTTCACATTAGGCAGATATATTTGTGTAGTTGAAACATTTAGACTATTGCTGAAACTGTAAGAGCAGTCCACTTTTTGCATCTAAAAATGTATAGTTTCAATATTATGTAAAGTCAAATCATAGTATTTTAGAATCATTTTGGCATATCATAGGAATTAGTGTCCTGGTTAATTCTAAAATTGTTTTATTAATAATAAGCAAGTCGAGTAATTTTAGTAAAGGTATCTGAAGTTACCTGTATATTTAACAAAAATGACTCAATTTTAGCATGAACAATATTTAGTCTTTTGTTAAGCAGAATTCGAAATTAAAATTCCCTTTTGACAGTAGGTAAGAGAAAAAAAGTTGGTAAAAGAATAAATGAATTGGCTTCGATAGGAGTCTCTGACCCAAATAAAGTTCTGCATAAGTATTTTTATCTTTTAAATTTATGTGAATTTCGAGACAATACAGGGTGTGGCGTGTATAATCTATAAAAATTAAACTACAGCTTCCTAACGATATTTGTAATAGAAAAGTCTTATACGAAAAAGTTCTATTTATGCGTTTTTTTTTTTTCGTAAATTAAAGTTCAATTATGGATCAAAATATTTTCTCTGGAACGGTCCTGTCCGTGTGCTGTACGATGAGTTACGTGCTGTAGACCAGCCGCGTAAACAAATCGTCGTTGAAAGATAGAAAGATACTTCTCAATTTTTGGGGAATTTTTCAATGCAAAAGTACAAACTAAGAAAAATAGATATTTAAAAAAAACTGATATTTTCTTATTATAATAATTAATAGTAATTACTATCTTAAATGCATTGTTGTTACTGCAAGAGTTCGCAAACAAAACCACATCCGTAAGCATCTGTAGTTGCCAACTGCGTGCACTAAACAAACTCCATTAAAATATGGAACAAAATGAAATAAAACTTACCATTTCTAGAGAAAATGTTGAAATTGATCCCCATTAGCGCGGATACAGGCATGGCACCGACGCACCCAATTTTGGCGAATATTTTCCCAAATTCCAGGTATTCCCCTAATTGTGTCAGCAGCTTCAAGTATACGGTTTCGCAATTCTTCCACCGTAGCAATTGGAGTATTGTAAACCAATGACTTCAAGTGACTCCAAAGATAAAAGTCCATTGGAGTTAGATCGGGTGACCGAGGTGGCCACAGCACAGGACCAAAGCGTCCAATCCATCGCTGAGGAAACATTTCATTCAAAAGTGTCGTTACTTCTCGAGTACTGTGTGGAGGAGCCCCATCTTGAAGATAAAACATGCGTGCCCGAACTTGTAATGCCACATCGTCCAATAATTCAGGCAACCGGTTCTCCAAAAAGTCAGCATATGTTGGTCCATTTAGTCGTCCTTCAAAGAAATAGGGACCCACAAGTACATCGCCTATTATGCCAGCCCAAACATTTACCGAGAACCGATGTTGAAAATGAGTTTCCCTAATCGCGTGAGGATTTTCATCGGCCCATATGTGCATATTATGGAAATTAAGCAGGAATGTCTACTTGATTGGCACATTGCCGTAAAAACCATCTGCAAAAACGCATTCGTTGATCACAATCCGGGGGTAAAATCTGTTGAACTGGTTGCAGATGATCGCAGCTGGCGCCTAAGATGCGATGTACGGTACGAGATGAGGTTCCTACTTGCTGTGCGAGTCGTTGAGTACTAATTGTGGGGTCTTCGTCAAGATTTTCCAACACCGCATCTTCAACATTAAGGTTCTCTTGCTGACCACGTTCTCCTCCTCGAGGAATAACACTTCCCGTATCTCGCACCTGCTGAATGCACTGTAGGATTGCATTTGCACATGAGGGGTGACGTTGTGGCCATCGTTCCCGGTACAACCTTGTCGCAATTGCATTTTCACCGGCTGCACCATACACTACTTACTCGGTACATTGAAAAACTAGTTTGTGTACAAACTAAAAAATTAAGCAAAGTAAGAAATAACAATCTCGTTATTAATGTAATCGGCACGCTATTTTCATTTTTTACTTCTTTATAAAAATTACACTGTCACTATCGTGGAATTACAAAATAAAAACTTTTGTTTGGAAAATCTTTCACTTTTTAACACTGATGGGTCGATGGACGATGCTTAATATTTAATAATTAAGTGAATAATGAATTCAATACAAATACAAAATCAGTTGACTGCACAAATTTTTTGACAATTCTTTTAGTATTACTAGCACAGCTAATATAAGCTGTGTTACTAGTATTGCCGACTTAAATTATAAGGTTGCATCTCGGGTCGCATAAAAACATTTCCAAAGTTTTTAATAAATAACACAGGCTCGGCCTTCATTTTACTTTAATTTACAAAAAAAAACGCGAAGATAGAACTTTTTCGTATATGACTTTTCTATTACAAATATCATCAGGAAGCTGTAGTTTAATTTTATAGATTATACACGCCACACCCTGTATATGAGGACCAAAACTCTTCTTACTATCAAAGAACAATCCTAAATCTAAATATGGTTATTATAAAATAATTATCATCAAAAACATTATAATTTTTCGTGAAACTAATACAATAACATTTTGCTATGTTTAAAGTTAATTTATTATTTTTGCGAACAATAATATTCATGTTCGTTTGAACTGAATCATAGAATCATGAATAGATTTGATAATTCGAAGTAATGAGTAAAATTACCAATATCGTTAATACATATATATAGGAAACAGTAACGAACCTAAATGTGAACCTTGTGGCACACCAGTAATTATAAATATTGGGTCAGATTTGAAACCACTGACTATAACTGTTTGAGACCTATTAAATATATAATTAGGCAAACCAACGCAATAGATCACCATGTATACCGATATCCGCCAATTTAGCTATCAAAATATTGTGATCAATTTGATCAAAGGCTTTACTAAAGTCCGTATACAAGGCGTCAACCTGAATTCTACTGTTCATAGCACTACGAATGTATTAATTGTAACATAATAAATTACTCTCGATAGCTCTTTTAGAAAAGCCATGTTTTTCCACCATAATAGACGTTTTAAGGGTATTAAAAAGACTATTGTGTATAATCGATTCAAATAATTTACGAAATACACACAACTTACTTATACCTCTATAATAATAATAACGCAATATTTGTGTCCTAAATTTTTATAAATAGGAATTAAATATGATTGTTTCCATAAAGTTGGAAATTCATTTAGATTAAGAGATTTAGTAAATATTAATGATATAGGTACTATATCTGGGGCACAGTTTTTTAATCAGTTATTTGACTATACAGGGTGTCCCGAAATTCATGCAACAAAATTTGGTCACAGATTTTTAAGACAAATTTAGAGGACCCGTATTTTTTATTTTTGCCAACTGGCCCCCTCTTTCGGAGTTACAGCCCCCTGAAGTCCGCTCCTAAGAATAATCTTTTTTTTATATCTCAGAACCCTGTTGTACGAGAATCACTAAACTTGGTATACAGGGGTTTTATGATATGTGGAATCTGATGGTGCTACGCAATGTTTTCGAGAAAAATGTCAAAATGTGATCGTGATTCGCCATTTTCCTCAAAAACATTGCGTTTTACGAAACAAATATCAAGGGACAAAAAATTTTCTAAATTCAATGGCTTTCTAGTAAATTAATAATTAAAAAAAAAATCAAATTTGCGACCAAATTTTTCTGGTTCCAAAGTCAAGGGGCCCACGAAAAAGTGTCTTAAGGGGGTTTCTCGCCAAAAAGCGTAGCACTGTGAGATTCCTCATGTTATAAAACCCCTGTGTACCAAATTTAGTGATTCTCATGCAACATGTTTTGAGATATAAAAAAGACCCCTAAATTTGTCTTAAGAATCAATGACTAAATTTTGTATGTCAAACCAAACTAGAGCATAACTTTAAACTTAAAATTATTAGGTATTTATACGGATTATGCAGTATTGTCTAACAGTTTTATGAAATGTTGATTATGACAAATTTTATCTTTACGTTTACCATATGCAAATTAAAAGGAATCATTTAAAATCTATATACATACCTTATATCTTACGTTGTATGTTACAATTCCATTTGGTTCTAAAGGCTCATTCCATTCTAATAATATCGTAGTTGAGGAGGAATATTTAGTTTCTAACTTTTCCACTTTGGAAGGAACTGTAAATGTATTTAAGTATAAGTCGCGATTAGTTTTATATTTTTAATGTTAAATTTTACTGTTTTTTAATTCATTATTTTATTTTATTAATATCATTTCTTATTTGACATGTACTTTTATTTAGTAGTTTAAGCTAAGAAAATGCTTTGTTTCAATTTTTTCACAATTCAAGAGCAATTTCTAAGCAATATGAAGACGTAGAATTTAACGTCAATAATTATTTCATGTTTTTTATTTATGAAATCTGTTTCAGATCTCAAACTAGGCTAGAAATCAATTTACCTCCTTCTTTTGTTTTAAACGGTATTGCTACGTTTCCATGTTTAACGTGTCGGAGAGTGAGTTTATACGTTCGAAACGGTTTTAGATTAGGTAATTCAAATTCTTCTTTCACATATTTTTCCTTTCCTTCATCCAGACTATATTTATAATTACTGATTCGGCATGTTTTAGCAGATTTCTAAAATATATAAATCAAGTCAGTCTGCCATTAAAGTATAAATTGATGTCATTTGATTTTATTTTAATGATATAGTTTTGGGTACATTATATGCTTTAATGAAATATTTATTAAAAATTTATTTGAATCCATTTTTTAAATTAAGATTTCTGTAACGTCGGGAAAATTATGTTAAAAAATATTTCCTAACTTCCTAATATTTATATTCAACAAAATTTTTTCATAATTTCTTTATATTATGATGTTTTAGATTTCATTGTTTTGGACATTTTGTTTGTCGGACACTTTTCGATTTAATTACATTGATGGTAAGTAACAAGTGTTTATTTAAAAAAATATATTTGCAATAAAAGTTTACTTACATAATTGTAAAACTTGAAATTGCATACATTTTTGAAACAAGGAGGAATTAATTACTCTTGTAAAATATTTAATTGTAAAAATGTTTTGCACCGTAAAACACCGAAAAATACAATTTGAATTGCTATTTTCTATACCCATACATAATGGCTAACTTATTTATTTTAAGCAAATTATGCTGATAATTTGTTCATCCAATCATAAAAATTTTATAGATTATTTTCCATCTTAGTTAGGAATTTCAACCAAAAACTTCGATAAAACAATTCAGGGTCGCTGATATGAATGGAAAAGATGGATTATCTCTTAAAGTAAGATAGCTATCGAAAAATCAAGACACAAACGTTTTAGGGTTTTTAAAATCTATTACAAGTTACATAATCAGTCAAAATGTCACGAAACAAAGTTGCTTTTTCTTTAATACGTTGTAAGTATATTATTCCATATTTCAATTCTTCTCAAAATTCTAAAAAAAAAATCATATAGGTAGTTATATACTTTGAAAGTAAGTTTTACTACTCTTAAATTTATAAAAGAAAAAGAGCCCCAAATTATGGATATTTATTTTGAAAATAACATAAATTGGAGGATATGGACATGATTTAATTTTATTGCTAGTTTTTTACAGAAAATAAAAAGCATAAATAGTTCAGGGTTGATAAAAATACATGAAACGAAATAATGAAAATAAATGTCCTGGATTTAAATTTTATGAAAACAATAATAATAATAAAAAAAGAGAGAAAACAAGTTTTAACAAATAACAACTATTTTCATTGGAATTCTATTTTATAAGGTGTTCAAAGTGTTCACCATTTACCTCCTGACAGTCATGAATTGGCTGAACAAAATTTTGTTAGTAAAGAGTGTTGGGAGGAATATTGGAAATTTCCTGTCTTATCCCTTCCTGCAACTCTTCGATATTTTGCGGCCTATTTTTGTAAACTACATATTTTATGTGACCCCACAAAAAAAAAGTCAATCGGGGTGATATCGAGAGACCCAGCTGGCCATTCAGTTGTCCCTCTGCGTCCAATCCATTTATTAGGAAAAGTTTCATCTAGATATACCACAGGCCCAAAATATGGAAGAACCCCATCATGTTGAAACCATATTTGTTTGCCGATAAACTGGATTGATATTGTTCGGGAATAATCGTCTAAGCTCTGGAATAATATGTTCTTTCAAAAGTAATAAATATCGTTCAGAGGTCAAATTTCCATTTGGATCCTAGGATCCTATGGCGTGTCCATCAATAATGAAACACCAAACATTTACTTTCTGTGATCGTTGGGTGTGAACTTTTTCCATCCAATGTGGATTTTGGTCTGACCAATACCTACAGTTGTGTCGGTTTACCTGCTCGTTTAAACAAAATGTAGATTCGTCAGAAAACAATAGGTGACAAAGATGATATTTTCGTTTAAATTATCCATAATAATTTCGCAGAAGTCGATTCTACGATCATAATCGTCATCACTCAATTCTTGTAACAAATTAGTTTTATACGGATGTAATTTTTCCCGTTTGCAAAGTTTTTGAATGGAATGTCGACTCATGTTATGATTTAAAACCGCCTGTTGTGTCGATTTTATACCACATTTTACATGACATTCAAAGAATTTTCTTCATTTGTAACGCTTACTGGTATTCCACTTTTTCGTCTATCTATAACACCTCCAGTTTCATGAAAACGCTGCAATGTTTTTGTAACAATTGATTTAGAAATATGTTTCCGATCGAGATGCAATTTATAAAAAATATCCACTACATCGTCACAACTTCGTCTTCTATCACCATACCTATCCTATGATTATTAAAACTTCATTATGCTCGGTTTCACTTAAACGTGCAATTTTTGCGAGAAAATTATCCACACTAAATGTATTTTTCACATGCATATTTTTCACGATAATAACTATTAGACAAAAGAACGACGCGGCGTTGTTCTGGAGCTAGAAACTTTCAAAGGCAACTTGATGGACTATAAACTTAATGGACTAAAATATTTTTTTATAATTTATAAGAAAATTATTTTCAAAGTTCGATATCTCGAAAACGGTTAATTTAGTTACATGATGTGTTATATGAATTTTATTTAGAATTTCGAGAAGAATTAAAATATGAAATAATGTACAAGGTATTCCGTTAAAGAGAAAGCAACTTTGTTTCGTTATGACTTTTTGACTGATCATCTTAATTTTTCTTTATTGTAAGAGATTTTAAAAAACCCAAAACGTTTGTATTTTTCAATAGCCATCTTACTTTAGGAAATAATCGACCTTTTCCATACATATAAGTGACCTTGTGTATAGATTAGCACCATCAATCAGAAATTAAAAATTATGTTCAACTTATATTATACAACATGTACCTGAATTAATAAATTATTTCTACTATTACTCAAAAAATAATCGCATTAAATACACTTCCTACTTCAATATAATTAAGGTTACACATCTCAAACTCCCTAAACAATTACAAGTCAATACAATTACAATATTTGTAATTATTACACAATACAAGTTTGTCTGCTTCGCGGTCGGACTATTTAAACTGTCGAACTTAAGAAAAAAAAAAAAGAGAAACGAAAAATAGAGGGACTAAACGAAAGTGTAACCCTTTGCATAGATCCTTTGAAGAAAAGAGAACACGTTATAGCAACAAAAATAAGAATAGTTTATAGATATCGTTTTCTTTTGTTTAGAAAGTAGAGTATTCTACAAGTTTTGTTGCATTCTCAATCTTCTAGGCTGTTAAAAAAGTAAATGGATAGATGGGTGGATGGGTGGGTTTTATAGGTGGTACAGGTTACAGGTGGATGAATAAATATGCGTATTCATGCATGAACGACTGAATAGAAAGATGTATGAATTCATAAATGGATGGGTGGATAAAAAGATGGATCCAGAACTCTGCAACACGAATTATGCCATGAAAATGGCGTTTTAAGCATTTTGATCTATTTTCTGTTTTTGAATGAAATTGGACCAGCTTGTCTGACTCTATGATGATAAATTGGAATTAAACGAGTGAAAAATCATACGTCTAGTGAGCTGGTAGAATAATTTGATTTTTATAACTTTCGTCGATCGTAAATGACATTTTTTGTGAATTTTGACCCGTTTTTTGAATTTTCCCGAAAACTCAGACCCGTTGGGCCAAATCTAAAGGCAGATTCGGATTCAGCGGAAAAAATACATGGAAATATATGAGTCTGAATACCAGATCCGATACTTTTATTTTATTTTTGTGTGTTATTTAACCGATTATTTTAAAGTAGCGTAGCTTATAATAATAATGGTTGGTTGTAATTTCTGATTAAAACTAATCAAGTTAGCCAAGATCTTTTGGTATCATCGAAGTAAACTCAAAAGAACAGGACGCGACATAAAATTTTTTGTATCACCGTTTCGGCTGTACTCTATAAAACTATCGAAAATCAACCAGCCTGTACATTATGCCAATTTTTACATATAAAGTACCCCAAATTATAAAGTACAACAGTGAGATATCTACATATTTTGTGAAATGACTTACCTTCACCAATTGAACTGTAGCCGTTGTGTTGTACGTTTTAATATTAATATTATTGAGATTATATGCTGAAAATTTACTTCATTAGTTTAAACAGTATTAATAGGTGTGCCATCAAAAATAAGTTACGCGATCATTATTATTCAAAACTCAGGATATGGTAAAATCCTACCCAAATGAGAAAACAATGAATTCAATTATATTCCTTACTTTCACAAGTTTATTTTTGGTGTTATTATATACAGGGTGTGCCATTTAACACTCCCGTTGCTAATATCTCCGAAATGAAGAAATTTCTTTTAATTTCGGAAACTGAGGTTGTTAGGTTCTTCGAATAGCTTCAAATTGCAGTTAAAATTGTTAGTTCAAATCTTTCTGTATAGATGGCGTGGCGGTACTAAAAAATGTTTTGATTCCTGGAACGTGGAAATGCGGTCTATCTAAAAGATCGTTAAATTTTGAATAATTTTTATAATATAAAGTTTTTCCCAATATTTACTTGTTTTGGAGACATGTCGACTTCAATATGCAATGTATTATGTAACAGGAAAATCTATTATTTTATTTAAATCACACTGAAACAAAATATTCTTTTAAAATAATATAATGGCTTTATTCACACCGCATACTAACTAACAAACTATAAATTATAAAAAAAAAAACAAATTACGGTAACTTTACTACACCTAAACCAAATTATTAATAATAATCCTAAGACTTCCCTAAGGCAACTTCAGGCAGAGTCTAATATTTCTATGACATCTTGCCGCAGAATTTTGAAAGACAACCCTATAAAATTCACCTCTTCCACCATTTAAAGAGCATGTGATGACCAATGGAGATGGAGAAAACAATAATTTACTTTATAATATAATATCTTTTGGATTGATGAAAGTAGATTTTACAATAATTTTACGGTAACACGTCACAACTGCCGCTATTGGTCTGACAATAATCCAAGCCCAATACACCAATCCCGAAATCAAAATGTTTTTTTCTGTAAATGTTTGGTGTGGCATTTTGAATGGCTATATAATTGGAATTTTTCTTTACCAAGGAACATTAACATCCAACCGTTATTTACATTTTCTAAGAAACGAAATACTAAATTTATTGGATAATGTTGTGCCTCAACATAGGGTAAATGATTTATTGTTCCAACAGGATGGAGCGCCCCCCTACAATGCTAATGCTGTGCAAGAATACCTAAGTCAGAGGTTTCCGGGAAGGTGGCCGGCTCATTCACCAGATTTGACCCCATTGGATTTTTTTCCTATGGGGTTATTTAAAAAACAATGTATATCAGGACTCTATAAAAGACATGGCAGATTTGTATAATAAAATTTATGCAGCTTCAGCAGCTTTAGATCGGGACATTTTATTAAGAACCTGTAATGTCGAACTAACGAGAAGACTAACATTGTGTATTAATGCTGAAAGACGTAATTTTAACATTTATTATAATCTTTGTTTTAACTTATTTCAGTAACTACATTCACATTTACGTCATTATTTTAAATACTTTCTGTTACTTTTTCTGTAGTTGATCATTTGTTTTTTTATAATTTATTATTTATTAGTTAGTATGTGGTGTGATTAAAACTGTTATAACAATATTTTACAATAATATTTTTTCTCAGTGTGATTTAAATAAAATAATAGATTCTCGAAAACAAGTAAAATGGGAAAAACTTTATATTACAAAAATTATTCAAAATTTAACGATCTTTCAGATGGACGGCATTTCGACGTTCCAGGAATCAAAAATTTTTTAGTATCGCCACGCCATCTAAACAAAAAGATTTGAACTAACAATTCTAACTGCAATTTGAAGCTATTCGAGGGAACTAAAAATCCGTTTCCTGAACTGAAATAAATTTCTTCATTTCGGAGATATTGGCGGCGGGAGTGTTAAATGGCACACCCTCTATATACAGCGTGTCCCGCTGTAATGTCCGGAAGAGGGAAAAGTTTTTTATTTGTGGGTTTACGAGAAAAAGTCGCTCTTTATAAAAACTCTTGCTTGTTCCAAACCGGTCAAAACTGTTAAAATATTTGTCATTTTTTATACAGGATGTTCAGTATTTAGAAAAATATTGTTAGTCGCCAAGAGTAAAGTACCGTTATTTTTGACAATATCGAAAAATACTTTCAGGGATGATGCTTTTTCGGTCGATATCCGCACGGTTTAAGGCGTCAGTACTTAAATCGATGTGTGCTATCGATGCCCGGGTTTCGAATCCCGCGGCCGGTAGACCGTAGATTAGCTATGCTTGTACGGAGGATTGGCACCTTCTGTGCAGGTATGGTAGGGTGGAAGAATGTTGGCTTGGGTCAATGTGAGAGATTGACACCGGTTGGCATTTGACCACCCCCCTAATTAATGAGGTTTTCCAGGTTTCCCTCAGTCCTGCACTGAATGGTGGTTAGGGCCTACTAACATAAGTCGTTCCTGAGCGCAAATGCGGCCTGCTTAATAATAATATGCCGCCTCCTATCCCGCATTATTATTAGTATTATATTATATGTCATTCGGAATCCACAGGGGATTAAAAGTTATTATTTTTTTAATAATACGGGCAGCTAATTTGTATGTATCACTTTGTTTGATATTTGCAAAATTTATCCAATAATCAATTTTTTTAATTTTATTTTTATTAAGTCAATTTATTGCTAATAATATGAAAATTTACATAAAATTTTACTCAAATTTATTGCCTCCAATTTCTGCACAAATTTCAGCCCTTCTAATAAATTCTATATAGACATTTCGTATTTCGTATTGAGGAATATTAGCAATTGTTTCTCTTATTCTGTTTTTTCTGTCCACATTATTACCAAGCGGTTCAGCATAAACTTTTTGTTTTAGATTGCCCCATTATCGTCAGATCAGAACTTCTAGGAGGCCATGGAACAGGACCTAATCGTCCTATCCATCGATCTTTAAAATGTTGGTCCAACCATTCTCTAACAATAATTGTAGAATGAGATGGATGCCCACTTTGTTGAAAATAAGCCCTCTCTCGGTGTGATAATGGCATATCGTTTAGGTAGTTTAAGAAAAACGTACTTAGTAACTGTAAATAAGAATGCTGGTTCAAGTTTCCCTCTATAAAATAGGGTCCAACTAGTATTAAGAATAAGAAACGGCACACAGCAAACGTTAACTTTTTTTGAATACTGTCGTCCACAATTAATTCGAAAATTAGGATTTTCCGAAGCCCAGTATCTACAATTTTGAGAGATAACTATTCCATTCGTGGAAAAAGTCGCCTCCTCCGAAAAAATAATATAGTGGGAAAAATTTCTGCTTTCGAGATGGTGCTCACCCACCCATAGACAAAATTCCAACCTTTTAGAATCATCCCCTTCTTCTAGTGTATGGACAAACTTTGGTTTATAAGGATGTATTTTATTTTTTTTAACAATCTTTGTAAACGAGACTTAGAGTTGTTTCAAAATCTTATGAGCTTTGACTTTCATATGCGCAGAAACATAATTCCGACCGTCACCTAAATTATTCTACGTCCTAAAAACATTACATCTATTATTCACAGTCTATCTCGAGCTCTCGAAGCGTAAACAAGCCTTTGATCCGATTACAAATATCATAAAATGCCCTATTCTTTATTATTTTAATTTAAGCAATAAAAATATATATAACGAACGTTCGCTAGTTGACTTTATTGATGCCCGAGCGCCTTAGTACATTTCTTGTTGTAATAAGGCACGTGGTCTAATTCTGAGTCAATGTTTTCACAACGTGCTTATTAGAAGAATTATGCGGATACGCCACGCCTTTCGCGCATTTCGCGGCTCATGAGATTTTGAAACTACTCTACTAACGTTTACAATTTCTGAAGCTCTTTTCCTTAAAGATGTCTTTGGGGCATTTCTTATTAATTGCATCACTAATTCTACATTGTCTTCTTCATTAATCGCTGTTATCCTTTTCTTTTTTAATACAGAACCAGTGTTTTTCAATTTTTGTACATTCCGTTTTATAGTCTTATCTGTGACTATTATGTCAGGCCATTTCTCATTAAATCGTCTTTGAACTGCCGCGAATGATATTTCTTCACCCAAACCATAGCACTGAACAATAAATACTTTTTGTTCGAGAGTGAGCATTGTAATCTCAAATAAAATATCACCTAATTAATCACGAAGTGACTTTGACAGAAGATAGTAAGCATTATTTATTTGGTTGTTATAGTCACAGCATCCGTCATTTTAAACTCCTTTTATAGCATGCACAATCAGGTGCCCGCCTTATTAAAAAAAAAATTAACAGAAATTAGTGAAACCTCAAATTTTTAATCCCCTGTGGATCCTAAATGACATTCCTGTTAATATTTTTCGATAGTATCAAAAATAACGGTAGTTTACTCTTGGTGACTAACAATATTTTTCTAAATACTGAACACCCTATATAAAAAATGACAAATATTTAACAGTTTTGACCGTATTGGAACAAGCAGGAGTTTTTACAAAGTGTAACTTTTTGTCGTAAACCCACAAAAAAACCTTTTCCCACTTCCAGACATTACAGCGGGACACGCTGTATACAGCGTCGTAATTAGGGGTTGGCCGCGGGGCAGCTATCAGGAGCGCACACCTCAAGGGGGTGCACTAGCAGACTCGCAGCCCAGGAGCACGGGCACATTGAGGACTTACCCAAAATTAAAACACAAGCAGAATTTAAATTTTGTCCTGGCGCTCATGACCTTAGCTACGATACTATATACAATATTATATACAGGGTCGGAAAGTCCCCATGGTTCATCGGCCGTTACGTGAGAGCGATAAAGAAAGTCATAGAAATCCGTGCGATAGAGAAAGATGGCTATAATGAAAACGTCTAATAGTCACCGCCCATTTCTCCCTTCCACAAATAAGATCCGCTTCTTATTTGTTAAAGGGCGAAATGGGAGGTGACTATTAGACGCCTTCATTATAGCCATCTTTCTCTATCGCACGGATTTCTATGATTTACTTTATCGCTCTCACGTAACGGCTGATGAACCATGGGGACTTTCCGACCCTGTATATTTATAAAGGTGAGTACTGAGAAGAACAGATTTACTCCCACAAACTTTCGTGACGGTTATTGTTCTTTCTCACATTAATCGTATGCTTGAATGTATGCCCCGACGTTCAGCAAGATGTCTAGAAGGAAGAAAATATTTCACGTTTCTTGAGAAATGATGAGGACGTTAGGCATTCCACAAAAGGGAAGCTATTAGATTTCATCAGTTAACTGCAGATCCCTTCATTCACTCCATATCTCACAAATATTGGTGTAAGTGGAAAAGATGCGCCTGCACAGAACTTCTGTATGAAATCGTCGTCCAATCCGATCAAATGATTTCTTTCAATTTCTTGATAAACCCACAAATGGCGATGATGTTCGGGCGTGATTAGAGCAAATTTATTAGCGTATAGTGTCTGTGTGCGTAAATCTGCTCAGTACGCACCTAAATACTTACGAATGCAAGTTGTAACAAAGGATTTTTGTTTTATTGCACCTCCTTCGTAAATATCGGACAAATTTGAATAAAGTACAGCTCGAACATAATATGTGGTATCCGCTTCTAAATTATAAATTTTGTCGGTTATGTACTGAATGCTTAGAAAATCTCTTTCACTGTTAATTTTCCACTTATTATCCATATCTCTCTGAAAATTTTCCAGAATTATTATTTGATTTTTTTTTACTATTTTCATTTAATTGAGTATTTATGCTAAACAAACAGGAAAGATAAAAAATTAACGACCCTATTGCGTCAAAAGAATCAGTAAAAATATTAATAACGTGCTAATATTTAAGGGGGTTATTTTTGGGTCCATTTTAAGAAAAAAACTTCATATGAACATATGTCCTAAAAGTCTTAACTTTTAAATTACAAGGTGCTAAAGTTTTATGAAAAAACATTTTTTTATGATAACTTTGGTATTACTCTAGATATTTTTTCAAATTTGAATACAATTCAATACAAAACCTGTACAGACGCCACTGGCAAAAATAATAAAATTCTTTGTACATCAGAAAATGCATCTCGATGAATAGATGGCGTGTATCAAATTTGAAGAAATATCTAAGGTAATACCAAAGTTATCATAAAAAAAATGTTTTTCATAAAACTTTAGCACCCTATAGTTCAAAAGTTAAGACTTTTAGGACATATGTTCATATAAAGTTTTTTTCTTAAAATGGAACAAGAATAATCTCCTTAAATATTAGCGTGTTATTAAGAAACACCCTGTATATGTATAACAATTAAAAAAAGTATTGTCAATATAATATTTACCAAATTCATAAGGTATATCTACTGTAAATGCAGTTTTTGATAAATAGTCCACAGTACAGGCCCCCTCTGGAAAGTTGATTACCATATACTTTATAACTCCTGAGGTGCTTCGTTTTGACGAGTCTACCACATTTTTCCTCTGCGACTTTTCTCGATTCCTCCGCTTTTCCACTCGGAAAAGTCCAAAAACATGGCAATTTCCCGGGGTCTTGAAAACTCAAGACCACATCTTTTATTTTTAGCTTAAGTAATTGGAAATTTTGTTGCAAATGCCGATTTAAATTTGTCCGACAGAAATTCCTCCGACATTGACGTGTCTACCGGTCGAAACATGCCAAAATAACAGGGTATTGAAAATCAATTACCACATAGGTAATTTTTAGTAAAATTAATTGTAAATAATTAATTCAGTCAAAAAGTATTGTTGTCCGACAAATTTCAAGCCGCGTTTTTTCAGTCCGACAGCTGGAAATCGGAATTTTCACGGGGTATGAAAAATCGATTACCACATGTCGGACAAAAATAACACACGATAGAAAAGTGTTTTTTATAAGCAAAAATTGTAATGTCCGACAAAAATATATCCGCAAATCGTCAGTCCGACAAAAAAAGATGAAAAAAATTTCGTAAAAAATGTGCACATGTATTTATAATTTCTAATAAGGTATTTTCATGTATTAAGCAAAATTCCATATAAATATACAATACAGGGTGTTTCAGAAAGACCTCCCGTAAATACAGGGGGTGAGGACGACAAAAAATAAGAATTTTTTGTCATATGAACTATATGTCTATCTCCTCTTCTCAAAGCTCAAGCTTACTTTGAGAAAAGTCACTTATTTTATAGTGTAATATTGTAAGAGTTTAATTAAAAGCCTTTTTTCTCGAAAATCGTCCACATTAGGAAGTTCTAACAAGAGTACATTATTTTTAGAAAATAAAATTGTACAATAGAAATTAGAGCCCGACTGGTAAAAAACCTAACCTTAAAAAAAATATAACTTAAATTGTAATAAGAATGTAGCATAACTAGCGCTTTCTATGAAATATACAAAAAATAATTAGACTAGCGTATTTGGCACCCTTAAAAACCTCGGGCTACCAAATTTCATAAAAATATTTCGCACTATTTGGAAATTTTCATAAAAATGTTATTTAAAAAATTTTATTTTGTCTCTCTGTATCTCGAAAACAAGAGGAGATAGACATAGAGTTCATAAGACAAAAAATTCTCATTTTTTATCATACTATCACCCTCTTTATTTACGGGAGGTCTTTCTGAAACACCCTGTATATATTTTTCGTTTTATTCTTGTAATTGTAAATCTCTATATGCTCAATTTAGCCAAATAAATATCGAGAAAAGAATTAAACGATTTCAAAAAAGTATGTATGGTGTAAAAAAATTATGCACAAAAGTTTTGGGATTTTCTTTTAGAAAAATAGGAAAATTTTTGTAAAGAAAAATAACAAACGCGAATGAAAACTTGAAAGAGAAAAAAGGATTTTTATATCAAGTATAATATTAATTTATTTAGAAATAATGCATTATGCACTAAGATCGTATTAATCGCCTCAAAAATAACTTCATTTGTTTATAACTTTTAAATTTTTAAGCATAAAATAAGCAATATTATAATTATTTATTTGAAACAAATAATAATTTACATAATAATAATTAATAACCATTTATAAATATGAAATTTTTGGAGTGAAAAAATTAAATTTCATCACGTTTATTGATTTATTGATTTTTTAATAATTTGCGGACATTAAATCGTCGGACACTTATATCACTATTTTGTACAGTAAATTTAAAAGTGGAAAAAATGAAAATTAGATATGTGGTAATCGATTTTTCATACCCCGTGAAAATTCCGATTTCCAGCTGTCGGACTGAAAAAACGCGGCTTGAAATTTGTCGGACAACAATACTTTTTGACTGAATTAATTATTTACAATTAATTTTACTAAAAATTACCTATGTGGTAATTGATTTTCAATACCCTGTTATTTTGGCATGTTTCGACCGGTAGACACGTCAATGTCGGAGGAATTTCTGTCGGACAAATTTAAATCGGCATTTGCAACAAAATTTCCAGTTACTTAAGCTAAAAATAAAAGATGTGGTCTTGAGTTTTCAAGACCCCGGGAAATTGCCATGTTTTTGGACTTTTCCGAGTGGAAAAGCGGAGGAATCGAGAAAAGTTGTGGAGGAAAAATGTGGTAGACTCGTCAAAACGAAGCACCTCAGGAGTTATAAAGTATGTGGTAATCAACTTTCCAGGGGGGGCCTGTACTGTGGACTAAAAGCTATACTGATTTGAAAAACTTAAATTGTCATAAACCTTGAGTATACAGGGTGTAAGAAGTTTGACTGCCATTACTTCAGCAGGATATAGAGTAATCATAAATGAACAAAAAAGTTGTATATTACAGGGGCGTAAGATTAACAGTTTTCAAAATACAGCGAGTATTAATTAATATTGGGGAGTTTCATCACAACGTGACAATAGCGCTTAACCTGCTGATGCACACCACGTGTACACGCGGCAGACTTGTCCTACGAAAAAAATGTAAACAACTATTATTGTCAAACATTTAGTAAATTTCAAGACAATTGTTTTCCAGTTTTTAATCCATATATATTAAAAGCTGTAGTTACTCTCGCTCCCACACTCGGCCGCGAAAAGAGGCGTACGGTATTATCAAAGGCTTTCCTCGCGAGTCGCGCAGCGACGAGCCGAGGGGCCCGGTCCTTCCTTTATCCAAACGTCGTATTCTGAAAGCGATCTGTTCGCGCCTTCTATGTGAAATTTTCACTTTAAAAAGAGTCCTCGCCGAAAACTGACTTTTTTCGGTGGGAGTGAGATACCCGAAGTATATCCGATATTTAAACAGACTTGGAGACAAACGTCAGTGAAGACGTCAAAATAAATGTTGTCATTTGACGCGTTTTCCCGGACGATCGGGCCATGGTGAGTCGTTACATTGCCGTTAGGTATCGATTCCGATCTTTTAGAGACACAAATTTGGCGACAAAACTTGATTTGAATATTTTCAATTTTCTGTTTACATTCGCGGAAAACCAACGTTTCAAATAGCGCGTGCAGGCTCCACCCAGCGTTAGATCGTCGTAGCTCATTTTGTAAACTCTCAAATGTTCAACAAGTCAACACAATTCAACAAACCTTTCGGGATATTGATTCCTGAATTTATTTATATATTGATGACATTGATTCTAATAATATATTTCTTGTGTCACACCCGTCTTGTATATACCATTTAGTTAAAACGTTTTCTTTCCAGTTCCCAGTTTCTGGTGAATTCCACTGATTGTTCTTTATCGTTCATATAGTCCAAGTCAATATTTAAATCATCAAAATTATAAGGCGAAAGCATCATCAACGTATCAGAACACAGCTTTCTGTTTAAATTATTAATATATTTGTTTTCAACATATTTCATAAATATAATTATTCAAAATATTGGAGATATACAGGGTGTTCCAGATAGACCTTCAATTAGACGTTTCTGGAAAACTACGCGTACTGGAATTTTGAGGATTTATGTACGGGGGTTTCTCCTAATGTTCTATCGATTGAAAATATTGGCGTCGCCGTGGAACTTCCGGTTCTACCGGAAGTAGACGTCAACTCGCTTATTTCAAATGGAATGTACTATTTTTTATTTAATTTCTGGATTCTACATCGAATTTTAAGGTAAGTTTCATAACCTTACTTTATCCTTAAACTCAATAGTTTTTGAAATATTTTGACTTTTTCAAAATTTTTGAAAAAAACATACCTACACTTAATCGGTTCTATCTCCTCCAATTTTTAAGATAGGAAGCTGACATTTTAGATGGTCAATACCAAAACGTGTCCAAATATCTGGAATATTCGAAAGTTGGTGCATGTTACACAGGGCGTCTAAAAAATACGGACCAATTGTGTCAAATTGAAAGTTTAATAACTCGCTTATTTTAAATAGAACACCCTGTGTTTTATAATGCCAGTAGATGCACCTGTTAATTCTCTTTCCATTGGTATAAGCATTCCCTATACCTAAATCCCACCGATTTTGAGATATTTGAACATAAGTACAGAGACGAATATAATCCGACAGTTAGCTGTAGGTTGGCTGTGGAAAAACATTTAAATGTCACCAAGTGTCATTACTTATTTAGCAGATTTGCTGT